GATTTTATATATATAAAAAATCATATTTAATATTTTATATGTGTGTGTGTGTGTGTGTGTGTGTATTTCTTTTTTTGTTTGTACCAGGTACTGACCTCAGGGGTGTTTAAGTACTGAACCACATTCCCAGACCTTTTTATTCTGAGACAGGGTCTTGCTAAGTTGCTCAGGGCCTCAGGCTGGTTTTGAACTTTCTATCTTCCCCCATTGGCCTCCCACCATGCCCAGCTCTAATTCATATTCTTTAAAAATTTGTTAAAGGCTGATCATTATTGTCAACGTGGCTGCCTCCATTCCAGCCAGTTTAGCTCCTTTTGCTTTTTTCAAGCCCAGAACAGCATCTTTCCTTTTGCTTTCCATCTCAAAGCTCCCAGCAACAGTGAATTATTATTATTATTATTATTATTATTATTATTATTATTATTATTATTATTATTCTCCTCTTCCTCCTCCTTCCCTCCTCCTCAGTAATCATAATTGGGCCACTTTTTCTTCTACCCCAACAGTGTCCCTGAACATCCCCAATCCCATATTTCCCAAATTAAAATTCCCCTAATTGCATTACATTTGTGGTAAAATAATAATAATAATAATAATAATAAGGCTAGGCACTAAGGGTCTACCTACTTATACCTTATATGGGTTTAATTCCAGTCCTGACCTCAGACTGTGACTTGGGGGCTGATTAACATCATCACCCATGCATTCAGGGACACAAGGAACAAGGATAACATCCCTCAGTCTCCCTTTTAGTTTGGTGTGAACATAAACACCATTGGAGATAGACTTGAAATATTTCAATTTTGAACATGGGAATGTAGTATGGCACATAATTCAAGAATTTTTTAAAAATTGTACCCACTTGTTTCTTGACTTAATTTTAGATTTTTCTGATAATTCTTAAACACTTTTCACAAAATTTGATTAAATTTAGATTATAAATTCAAGGCCAACCTAGGCAATTTAATGAGTGTACAAGTCTCAAAAAATAAAAAGAGCTGAGAATGTGACTCAGAGGCAGAGTGTCCTTGGGCTGAATTCCCAGTCTAGTTTTTAAAAGGGGCTGGAGCCAGGCATGGTGGCATATGCCTGTGATCCTAGAGACCTGGAGGGTGAAGCAGGTTCACAAATTCAAGGCCAGCCTTAACAACTCAGCAAGGCCCTAAGCAATTTAGCAACACCCTGTTCCAAAATAAAAAATAAGGGCTGGGGATTTGGTTCAATGGCAGAGTACTTACATGAGTCCCCTGGATTTTATCCCTTACATCAAAAAACCCACAAAAGTTTATCATTAATAATTCAGGTAGGAGAAAAGGCCCCAAAGCTGAGCATGGTGGCACACACCTGTAATCCCAGAAATTCTCACTCCGAGTTCAATTCTGATACTAAAAAGAAAAGAAAGACCAAGGCTGGAGCTCAGTGGTAGAGTATTTGCCTAGTATGTGTGAATCTCCAGCTCTGCAAGAATTGCAAGATAAAAAGGGAACCACGGAGCGGCGCAGAGCGGGCCGGCGGCGGATGGCAGCACCATGTCACCGGGCAGCGGGGTGAAGAGCGAGTACATGAAGCACTACCGGGAGCCGCGCTGGGACGAGTACGCGCCGTGCTACCGCGAGCTGCTGCGCTACCGCCTCGGCCGCCGGCGGCTGGAGCAGGCGCACGCGCCCTGGCCCTGGGAGGCCTGGGGCCCGGACTGCGCCTCGGACGACTCGGCCTCGTCGTCGGCGTCGGGCCCCGAGGAGGAGGCCTCGGAGGCCTCGGCGCGTGAGGAGCCTGAGCGGCCTGTTGGGGAGCGGGGCGCGGAGGCCGGGGACGAGCAGGACGCGGCGCAGCCATTTGAAGAACAGCAAACCAGAGAGGAGGAGACGGACAGGTTACCCGCTGGTGTCAAACCCCGACAGCAACCAAGTGCCTTATTTGCTAGAGGAAGTAGGAAAGCCGTCAGAAGCCCCCAAAGATCATCCACTAAAATAAAAGGAAACAAGCACCCCTTTGCTCTTTACGGCTGGGGAGAGAGGGAGACAGACACGGGAAGCCACAAGACCCACAACGTCTGTGCCTCTGCCTCGGTGCAGGAGATTCACGAGTCGGCGCTGCGGGCCCGGAGCAGGAGGCAGGAGGAGAAGAGGAAGCTGGCTGCTCAGCGGCAGCATGCGCACTCGGTGGAGGGGCAGAGGGGCAGGACAGCGAGGGCCCCCCCTGCAGAGAACCCCTGGGTGACAGAGTACATGCGCTGCTTCTCAGCAAGGGCCTAGAGCTCCCCAGGGGCCAGTCTGTCTGTGACCCGGATCTGGCCGAGAGACCTTGACCATGCAGGGCCTGGTCCTGTCGTGAATCTCATCACCTACGTCAGCAGCAGCAGGGCAGAAAGCTGAAGCCACAGACACTTGGTTACTGTGAAGACAAGCCCCAGGCCCCTGGTATTCTTGTTAGAGTTGTGTCTGAGCATCTTAGCTTTGAGCTACTGACACCAGATGCCTTTAAACAACTTATGAGGCTTCCGTCCCCCTCTAGGTGGCACAGGTGGGATGTGTCACCCACCTTCGGGGCCTTCAACTCACACTTGTGAGGTCCTTGTCCTGCACAAGATTTGTGTTTACCGACACATGTGGTTTCCTTTGTGAGAGAGTATCCAGCAAGTATCACTCCGTGACCTTGGGCCCAGTTCTCCCCAGGATCTAGCGTCCATCTGTGGTGAAGCAGGGCTGTGATGGCTACTGCAGGTACAGAGGTGCTTGTGTTTCAGCTCACACCAACCTTCACGCAGGTCGTGTGTTCACGATTGGGCTGGCGAGGCCTGGCTTCTCTGGATGATCTCCTGGGTGCTCCCTCAGCAGTTTAATAGCCACACACATTCCAGTAGACAAGGCCACTGTGTGTAGGTGGTTATGCAGTTGCTGTGAGCCAGTTCACCTCTTTAATGCTGTAGCATTTCTCTTCAGAACATATAAGATACAGCTGGCCACGGTTACAGGCTGTGGATTCTAGCCTCTTCTGCAGCAGCTGGCAGGACATGTAGAATTCGTGCCCTGGAATCACATGGAATGAACAGACACTCTGAGACACTGCCCACCTGCCTTCTCCACTCTTCCTTCTGCAGAACTTGGTCTTGATGGTTTGTGGTGTTCCTGCTTCAGGTTGAACTGATTGTTTGGTTCCTGGCCAGCAGATCTTACCTACACCTTACAGGAGCTTAGGGGCCGGAGCGCATGCAGCTGTGTCTCAGCAGGGCTGATCCTTTTGTGCATTTGCCTCTAGGATGGAAAATGGTCTTCACATTTATTTCTCAGGTGCTGGGTGGGTCTCCCTGCTGACGAGGCCTGTCCAGGAAAGACGAGGGCAGGTGCTCTAGGGGACCGAGCAGGACCTGCAGCTTAGCCCCTGCGGGCGTGAGTGGAAAGTTGGTGTTGGACTTGAGGCTTGACATGCCTGGGTTTTCACTCAAGGTCTCTCAAGTCCGCTGGCTCTTAGCACACAGACTGGTCTCACTCCACATAAATTCACCATCTTGTCACTGTGTCGAACCGTGAAAGTGCCTCTTAGAGCCTCCTGAGTGCTGTAGTCCTGAGGCGAGTCCTCTATGGAGAGCGTGCCTTGTCGTGGAGGAGTGTGCTTACCAAGAAGAAGTTCTACATGGTGTCTGACACCCTGGCTATGAGTTCTAGTGAACTTTGATTTAACCAGTCACACATCTTCAAACGCTGTGAGAACCTGTGGGTCACAGAACCCTGGCATAGTGATAGTGTGGCTCAGGTGGTTTCACCCACTGGCTGAGCATCATGTTGCATCTGACTGTGTTGGAAAGTCAGCCGGGCATGGCACCTGGCACCCCACTCCTCCAGCCTGTGTCTGCTGGATGTCTAGGAAACACACTTGTCTGTGCGTTTTCCCCAACTCCAGGCCTGGAAGGCAGATTGGCAAGTCTCCCTTCTTTATAAGTGAAGATGGATGGACAAGGTAGTTAAGGGACTTCTCATGTGCATGAACAACCAGTGGCTGAGTGTGGTAGCTGTGGTCCCTCCTGTCTGAGCCCTCGATGGTCGAGATCCTCCTCTTCCCTTTTCTCAAGGGCACAGTTACCTTTTGAGCCTATGAATTTTAAAAAATTGTGACAATGTGACATTCCTACTTTCTTCTTTTAATGGGAACTGATGTGGTGGTGATCATGTTCCTAATTCTTAGGACATGTTGCAAGACAGGGAGATAGTGTAAAGCTGCCTTCAGGTTGGAAAAGTAGAACTGGTTGGACCCAGTGTTATTTAAATGCTACATAAAGTCTTTTTTAAACTTTGGCTTTAAGTTCTTATTAAAATAATTTGCCATAAAAAAGGGAACCACGTATATACTATACATAAAAGATTAGCATGTATGTAATCTTCAATAAAAATAAAAATCAGATACCAATATATAAAACCTAAACTGTAGAACTCATGATTAAGAAAATGGGTTAAGAAAACTAAGAAGGAGACTGTCAATGTCACATCCCTATAATCCCAGAGGCTCTGGAAGCTGAAATGGGGGGATCATGAGTTCAAAAGCCAGCCTCAGCAACTTAGTGAAGCCCCAAGCAACTTAGCAAGACCCTCTTTCAAAGTAAAAAAATAAATGAATAAATAAAAAGGACTGGGAATAAGTGACTCAGTGTTTAAGGTTTAGTCCCTGATATAAATAATAATAATAATAAATATAATAAAGGAAGAAGGTCTAGGGGCAAACTCTGTGATAAAGCACCAAAAGAATAAAGAGTACAGTTCTGGTGTGGGGCAAGTTGTCGGGGACTAGAAGGAAATTCTCCTTCAAAGATTAGCCTGACAGCCCCCTGGGAGACATCCTGCCTGGGAGGCATCCTGCAGCTACCTATCTCCCTGGAACATCCTCTGGTTATCAGGATCATCAGACATCTTGCAGCTGGCAGTTTTACCACCCACATCCAGCAATTGCTGATTAGAGAGCTTCTCCATCCCCAGCATATAAATACCCCTGTGTGAACAATAAAAGTTGGCAACTTGATCAGAACTTTTGTCTTGCTGTCACCTTTCTTGTCTCTTGTCCCTTCATTCCTCCCCATCTAGGTTGATGTGTCCTGCCGGATGGGACAGCAAGTGCTTGCTCAGAAGCAATGTGTGCTTTCCTATGTCACCTCCCATGTCGAGTCCATGGGACCAAGAAACATTCAGAGATCTTGGGGCCACTGTCCACAGTAACAAGTGGATTTTCCATCCACCTCCATTTATTACAACCTCCTCTGGACACACTCACACTGTCCATTGTGCCAGTCAGGTGTCTTTAAAAATGAATCAAATCTCCACTTCTCAGAGCAGCCTTCCATGCCAACCCAATTAGGGCAATCACCCCATTTTTTTCCTTCATGGAGGGTGGTAAGGTATGTATATAAAAGGATTGCTTACCTTCAGCCTAGACCTGCAAGATTTCTTCCCAGGTGTGGTCCCAGATCACTCAGCTGATGTCAACACTTTACTGGGGATCCTGGCACTGCCAAGCAGGGAGCTGGAACTATCTTTTGGGTTTTGTTTTTTTTTTGGGGGGGTGGAGGGGCTATCAGGGATTAAACTCAGGGGCACTTAACCACTGAGCCACATCCCCAGCCCTGTTTTGTATTTTATTTAGAGACAGGGTCTCACTGAGTTGCTAAGTACCTTGCCATTGCTGAGGCTGGCTTTGAATTCGTGATCCTCCTGTCTCAGCCTCCCAAGCTGCTGGGATTACAGGTGGGGGCCACGGCACCCTTGCTGGAGCTATCTTTTTATCCTCAAGGTATAAGGGCATTAGAGCAGGCACATCGGTACCCACAGCTACTCCTATCCTTGCAGATCAGCAGTGTCCTCCTTGGTTCAGGTCAGTCCACACAACACATCATAACCTTTCCTGTCACCTTGGTTTCCCAAACTGACCCTTTTAGGATTTATAATACTATGGGATGTTTCCTTTCCTTTATCCCATTGGACACACTCCAGATGCAATCAGTATGGGGGAAATATCAGTCTCCCACTGACATTTCCCACCTTCCTCTCTGATAGCATCTTTACACTAGAGGTAGGGTGAGGGTGAGAAGGGCCTCAGGAATGGGCCACTGAAGCTCTGACTGCCCACTGGCTAACTCTATTGAAACAGTTCTAGGACTTACTCAAACTAAAAAGTTTTTTTCTCAGCAAAAGAAACAA